GGCTTCTGTAGCTGTACTTTATTCCCAATAAATATTAGTATTTTATTGATTATTAAATATTTAATGCCTTCGAAAATGATTATAAATAAACACTTTGAAGACAGATATAAATTTTGACGTCTTTTCGCATAAATATATGAATATTTAAACGATAAAAATTTCGGAGCAAATCGTTTGAATAAAAAATACATAAAAGAAAATAGAAAAATCTTTTTTACAAAATGCAAAAGTTTGTCGAATAATATGTATAAAAACTGTTGGGTAGGACTGGTAGGGCTTATGTTGGCTCGAATAGGCATTATTTGGCGTTTGGCATTGTGCTGGATGTGTTTGTGTGAAGTAATATCGCATTTTGTTGTTCAATACTCTCAATAGTATAATAGGAAAACCCAATTGAGTTCTCGGGAGCAGAGAAAAAGTGTGTGAATTGTATGGCAATACAAACGGCAAGAAAAGCGGTCGCAAAACGTGGAGGAGCTGTGAGAAGGCAAGCATTTTGCACACACAAGACATACAGTATAAACGCTGCCAACACCAGCACCACCACCACCAACACCACCAGTTTCTAAACGCTTACTCGTAACCTGAAGCAGGGGCTGGTAGGCCAACCCCACGCCATCACATAGGAGTTTGTCTATTGTTGTGTTTGTATGACTGAGCTGTTGGTGTAGAAGTAAGTCCAACCAAATCTGCTTATCTGTTTAGTATTCACCAGAAATAGTACAACCAGTGCTCCTTTCGGATCAACGGCTTTCAAAAAACAATACCAGTCCTGAAGCCCACAAATATTGTCGACCATTGTATTGAATTTACTAAATATACGACTAAACGCTGCCTACAATCGGCTTTCGCTATAATATCTAGGCCCTTTTTTGGCAGTCTTTTCTAAAAACTGAATTATAATTTGCAAACAAATCCAATGCACGCGCTTTTTGACCAAATAAACACGAGTAGGTATGGGCGCAGTGGGGTATGGTATGTCAGTGTGAGAGGGTATTAAAAAATATGAACACATTATTTAAATGAAGTCCTGATTTGCGGGATAAGTGTTCACCAGTAGTAGTGCTACTAAATGGCAATCACTTGTGAATCTCAGAATTATAATGAAAAAAGGAGAACTCAATTCACATACAATTGAATGCATGAAAAGAAATATGTATTTAAAAATCGTGGGAACGGTTCGACTGAATATTAACTATAAAGTGATTACAAAAATACAAATTAAAAAATAGCTCATAAAACAAGAGATGAATTGAGAAATATAAGCGCAACAAATAAAAATAACAATAAATTTTAGGCGAATTGACACTAAAAATAGTTGGTATGTATTAAATGTGGTCATCGTTTGTGCGAATAATGATAGCGTATATCAAGAAAGCGTTTAAACAAAGAATTGACTCTTAATTTACTTCTCATTTAAAAAAGGAGAGAAAAAACACGACCAGAAAACAAGCGATTCGTTTCCCCGAAAACATATATATAATAGACATTGAGTTGAGAGATAGAGATAGTGGATGAGCCTGAAAGCGAGGGTAAGAGTAAATGGTAGGGCCCGGGAGTATAAACGGTGGTATAACGTGCTAATTGGTATTCAAGTCAGGCATCAGCTCTTATCTAAGAAAACGAGTGAAGGGATGACTATTAAAGCCGTTCACAGATTGCAAACTACGATACGTTTGGTATATGATGTCAAAACTAAGACTGAGGCTGACAATGGAGTGCATCCACACCATCCACACCATGATCACCAGCACAGCACCAGTATATTGGCATCGAGTCTATCACAACCATTTGGCTCTCACTCTCAATCAATTTATTCTCAATATGTTTCACTCCGATCTCTAACACAGCTGTTGGCTGTGTCTCAATGGATGCGCCAAATACTGCACTACTTGTGCCGTAATTCTCATATAACAGCCCTAACACTACTTAACCTTTAAGTACTAAAACTATAAAAATAGTGATCATAAATGCATATATGAACTCATCTCTTGTGTAACGAATATTATTTTCGGATTTCGATTTTCATACACAATATTCTCGACTCTGAGATAAAGCGTTAATTCATCCGATTCTGGATCTATAAATATAACGACTGCTAAACAAAAACAACAAAATCTCTGCTCATTGCTTAGACTAAGTTACTGTCCCTACGACTGTGTCTGTGCTGCTCATAAGAGTGAGAAAAAATAATTTATGGATAGCTTAATAGCAAGAGAGAGAAAATAAAAGGCTTACTCGAGCATCAAAATAATGGATAGAAAAGATAGGGAACAGACTATTTTGCAGTATTAGGTAATACTTGTACTATTGCTTACTCCCTGTTAAATACAATGAACAAAATAACGCATAGGAATTGCAGTAAAAAATTGTCAACTCTAGTGAACAGCTATTTATTATTCACAACTCCGGAGCTAATTATTATTAGTTTAGTTACAAATTCCTAAAACTTTATTTTTCAAACACACACACAGTCTTTGGCCGATGGTTTAGGGGTCTTGTTTGGTGTGAGTGTTGTTTTGGCTGCGAAATAGTTGTTGTGTTTTTCATCAATAGATTTGTAAAGATATGTAAATCAGTTTCGAGTCTTAAATTCTGTGCTGAATATTATGCACAGCTATTAGTGTGTAATAATCGTGTGGTTCCTTAAATTACACTACAGTTTGACTACTCTATGAACTGCACAGTGGTATCGGTTCTCAACATTTATATATATGTTTCTCTCATGTGTTGGATGGTTCAAGAAATGGCAAAATGTAGTTAAAGTGCGAGAATGTATGCAACAGAATGTGCACACAGTCTGTACAGTCGGTCGATGCGATTCACTAACATATTGGAGGCCAAAGACAAGGCAAAGGCACAGGCAGTCAAAGCCAGATAGTCTTGTTTAAGCCTTAGGGCGCTTCACCTGCATCTTTACAAACCAAAAACAGACACATACATGCTGTGCATCTTTTTCCCATCCCTATCCTATAGGCTTTTAGGTTCACTACTTATATATACGATTCACCTCAAGTCAAAAAATTTATATATAGTTATATATAGTGTAACATATTTTCCTTTAGACTCTCATTTGCACATAAAAAGACTTTTCTGTCAGACATGAATTGCACGCTCGCATGGATTGCATTTGTGTGCAAAACCTCCTCTGCCAGTGCTTTGGATGCCTAACCAACACCACAACCAACTAAACTAACTAAACGTGAAGCCAGTGCTCCGGTGCTATGCCTGCCTGTGCTCACTGGCCTCTCTCTAGTCGAACAACTTTTCTCTTTCTTAAAATAAAATAAAAGACAAATATAAAAAATAAGCAAAAAAATGAAAAAAGTTTTTAAAAACAAATGAAAAATTAAAAGCATTTGAGAAGAACAGCAAAAAAATCTCATTCCAAGTGATAGTGAGAGCGAAATGTGAGAAAAGACTATTTTCTGCTCATTATTGTTGTCATATATTGTTTGGATATTTTATTTCTCTCTCTCTCTCTCTCTCTCTCTCCTCAACTATTCTCAACTTTCTCTCTCATTATTGTTAAGTTAAATGTGTTTTAATGAACAAAAAGACAAATTGCATTCTTATCACAAAAAGAGAGATTATTATGTATTTCTTTTAACAGCAAAGAAAACACAACTAATTATTAGCGCAAAAAAAAGTGGAAAACTCGATGTAAACCCTAGTATTTATATTCGGGTATATTTATAGCAAATCTACTTTATTATAACACCCATTAAAACAGACTATCTTCTCATCTGACTCTCGCACCCGTATATCAGTTGAGGACTCGATCTGTTCGACAGCAGATCTAATGACATAAACATTTCATCGGTTAGTACTCCATATGACTGAAGATTATTACATATATTCCCAAAATAGATGCAAACCATTGCATCCAAACAAGTCTTATATTATATTATTAGTAATACTGTATAATATGCAGAGCCATTTACTTTTTGGAGTACAACCTCTAAATTGCAGTCCTTGGCAAAATATACACACGTAAAACTATTTTTAATGCAACAAATTATTTACAAATTTAAATATAATTTAAGAGACAATAAATGATAAATTCTGGAGATTGAGCTCCGATTCTTGTGTGACATTCATTTAGTCAATCGTTTAGATCATTAACGCATTGACTTAATTGCATAAAAGTGACGCTCACTTAATGGCACTCATCATAATTTAGACCATCATTTAGATTATATGCCATCAGTTACTGATTTGTACTCACATTCAGATTGAGATATAATTTAATATTTGTCTCTTAATGTCCTAATGCACTACAATACTTATGTAATGTTATCGTATGTTAAAGACATTTACAACAACAAAAACAAAACGCTTATAAATTAGTATACTAGTAATGTGAACAAATTAGGATTTATATCAATATAATAATAATCAATGTTAAAAATGTGTATCACAGGTACGATTACGTTTAGAAACTCAAACAAAGTTTCCACACTTTTAAGCAATTTTTGCCCATTTTTTAATCACTTATACGTGTTCTCATAGACGGGTTTTTTGGTCAATATTAATGACTTTATAATTGCGTTCAGACAATATTATTATGATTATTATTATTATTATGGATGTCTCACGTATTTCGTTATAGATTACTGTACTCTCTCAATGTGTCGGTGCTATTATATAATATATGGTTACCGGTAAGAATAACACTATCTAAATAACTAGTGCACTTCTAAATTAAAAACTTTAAAATTAAAACATATATTTCATACGTTTATTATGTTATAAAAATATATGGAGATAAGATTGATTAAAGTGATGTAAAAAGTCAAGCTCATATTAAAAGCAATTATTCAAAAATAAAATAATTGTTTCCCAAAAAAGCAGAATATTCATTCAATGAAAACATATTGTGAGGCAAATAAATGACTGCATTTTAAGCATATATTCTCGCATTCGTATGATATATGAAATATTTTGGTGTCGTTTATGGAAAGGATGGACTAATTGTGAGTAAAGTGTGGATGACTTACCGGCTTCGCTGTTGTTGTCAGTGCTTTGCTGTGAACTGGGCTGTTGTGAGAGTGGGCCGGGAGTGCCAGTAGAACCGGCTGGTGATCTGACATCGTCGTGAACACCGTGGCCTCCATACGAGTTGAGTGACTGAGAGGGTGGGCGCTGTAAACGAGATGACAAAACAACACATTAATATCTATGCATTTGATGCTATAATTAATTGTTTTTAATTTCATTAAAACTCTATTCGAGATATAATATACACTTAGAAAGACTTTCAAACTTAACTTATCCTCACTGTTCTAGTCATTGGTTTTATGTATAATTAATTGTCTAAAATGTCAAACATTTCAAGTGAAATTTATCTTAAAAATTGTTTTATAATAAAACACAAACTGGTGCTGAAATGTGTGTGAAATTGAAAATAAATTCACAATTAATTCCCTATAATATCGTAATATCTGATGATTTATATAAGTTATTAAGACTTTGACTTATATTTGTTGTGAAAATAAATGACAGAATAAACAAAACGCCTTTTCTTGAACACCACATATAATACTGTATATGTTATATAAATGTGAAGTGAAGTGAAATGTTTGAAAAGTAAAAATTATGTCATAAACTCATAGCATATAATTAATCAGTTGAGCCATTAATCAGAAAATAGAGAAGCATAACAAATATTCGTGAAACAGGTAATGCCTCATAGGATACCATAGCACTAATATCCAGGCGCTCAACCAACAGAATCCTACAGCAAATTCAGTAGTAATACCGTAATATACGACACAGACATGCGAATCAATGCCGAGGCAATCACCACAAGACCTAATCATTGCAATTGTTGTGCAAAATGCTGTGCAAAATGCAAATGTGTTTTCACTCTCAACCCTATTCTCACTTATATTGTGTATATTATATATACTTTTTATTATTGTTATGCTCTTAAACACTCAAATATATGGCAATAATAATTCTCAGCTATTTTTTCCACTCACACGAGAAATACTTATAGAAAGTGAAAAACTTATTGTAAAGTAAACTAATGTTTTTACAGTGTTTTGCTGTGTTTTTACGGGAACTATCATTTGAGACCACGAACTGCACCTAAATTATAGTCGTTTGGCTAAACATTGTTAAGCAGACTAACACACAAATGGTATGATTGTTATGCTCTTTATTTTCATTTTTAATATTATTTATCTTTGCGTTTAAGTGACGGGACGTGAACTCATCTCATAAGTTGATGATCACATATATATGTTGGTTGTGGTGCACGCCATCCATTTCCGCAAATTACTGCTACCCCTAAACCTAGTGATAGTTAGCGTATTGGCAATGGTTTGGGACATATGATTGTCATTGGGAACGGTGGCTGTTGTTTAAGACCGCAAAAAACATATACAAATCATATACATAGAGACAGACAATCAATTGAAGCAACACAACAACAACCAAAAAAGTATTGACTGTTTGCCTACAAATTAGTTAAGAGTCGTTGACTGGCAATCACTACTAAATCACTGGATGTCTGGTCGGGTAAAGTATGTGAGAAAAGTGTACGTATTTTTGAAGTGCAATGAAAACAAATGCAATTTTTGTACTCAACTGCCAATTATTGGGCGTAAAAACCTGTGAGGAAGTAATGGTAATTATGATTGGCTTTTATTTCACTTTCTTATTATATCGTTATTGAGAGAAACACCGAAAATAAGACTTGAAATGAAAGCAAAAGTATAGCCCTTTTTTGAAGACAACATATTAATGGCAAAGAGTTGGGGTTTGGGATGACTTTCGGATGGGCTCTTAAGGTGTGATAATAATAAAGTAGTTAAATGGCATAATATCATTATATTAATAGTAAGGGTAAGAGTAGGGGCAGTACATGATCTCATTTAAAAATGATGTTTTCAATGGCTTTTTATAAATGGTTTCGTTGTCTGTATGTCTGCTCTAATCGATGGATCACTAAATTCCTGCTTTCAGTGCATAGTTTGTCACCTGATTTCCAGAAATGACTTATTCTCCAGAATAGCTGATATGAATGGTAAGGATACGCCCTAACAACTAGTCTTAGTGATCACCGGGAAGGAGGTTAGCATTCATACGGTGTCCTCCATATGATGTGTAAGGCATGGAGAGAATGTCTTTTCATTTGCAATACATTTGATTGCCATAACATTTAACTTTTATGTGTGTCTCAAATCAGGTAATAACAGTTTGCAGACATTTCTCTCAACTAAACATAACATACCAAACAACACATCACTATTCCAACCAATTTATCCAAACTTGAGGTCCCACTCATGACTGCACCACCACTGCTCTCCTCTACTCTCACTCAATGCTCCCGATATGCCTCTCTCTCTCTCTCTCTCTCTCCAGATTTTCAAGTAGTTTGAGGCACAGCTCAGTTCAAGTAAAAAAAGGTGAATCAGATATGATTACTCTCATCAAGACTTCAATTTTCTATCTATTCTCAGACTTCAGTATATTTTTGACCCTATATTTCATGTGATCAGAAGAGAGAGAATTTCATTATAAATACATTCGATTGAATTGGAGAGAGAGAGAGAGAGAGAGAGAGAGAGAGATGCAAAGAATGCAATGTATTCTCTCTCTCCCGAAAGGTTGCGTTTGTAATGTTTTTGTAGACGACTTACAAGTTATACACTTATAGCCCGATCTATGCTCTCGGATATTATATTGAGATTGTAGTTCATATGGAGTTGAACTCGAAAACCGGCAAAATCTATGTAATATTCGTATATCAAGTCATACGATGGGAATGAACTCTAACCTCACGTGCGCACCGAATACAGTGTTGTTTTATATGCATTCATAATATGAAATGCAATTGTATTATATTTATTGCTGCAAAAAATATGTTCATAAATAGTATACCGACTATTAAATACATGTAGTCTTTAATAATAGCCTTGAATTCGGAATAACCATTAAGTAGCGAATTATTATGAATGAGAAGTGACTTTTTAATACATTTATTGCCTTTCAATTCGCATTTCAAGGCGATATACCAGTCTCTCTCTCTCTCTCTCTCTCTCTTTCTTTCTCTCTCTCTCTCTCTCTCTCTCTCTCTCTCCATATTTCTCAAGCATTTTATCTTTGACTTTTTGTGAGTCACTCGACTTAATCTCTTATGACAGATAATTCACGAACCAATGGATATAAAATATTCTCAGTTGTGTCTCAAGAAGTTTTTTATATAAGAAATTATTTTTTCAGTAAATATCAAATAGTTGTTTACTGTTTACCTAGATAACAATATTTGTGCCCAAATAAATGCCACAAAATTGTGTTTTAAGTTTTGAAAAAAATCGATAAAAAATTGAATCAATTGGTCATTCGTGTTATGGCTTCGAGTTTAGTAGTGTCTCACCAAAAGTCGCCTCAAATTATATTCAATAGTAGAGACTAACAAGAGTTGAGGTCAAAGATGGGACCAAAAAAGTAGTATTTTTTGTTTTCCATTTGGAAACTCATTCAACCAAAAAGTGAATTTGTTTGGAATGTTTGGTTCAGATTTTACACATCATTTCCAATGATAGGCACTATTTTTAGTGAATATTTCTCTTTATTTTATGTATTTTCTCAAATCAAACACTTCTCTCAGCTATTGATTTCTTTTTGACTCCAAAACAGTGTTTAATAGGAATGGCACTCATATTAGAGTTGATCGCAAAGAATATATATATATATTTCTCTTTCCTCTCTCTTTCTCTCCCATCAAATGTGTCATTGAAATGGTGTTCAGTTTGACTCCAATGTATACAACATTTTGATATTAGTTATCGTCGCACATGTATTTCCAATCTCTCTCTCTCTCTCTCTCTCTCGCAATTGCAGCTAAAGCTATGGTCCTTATTGAAAAAATATAAGTTATTTCCCTTTCACTCGTCAGTACGAGAGAGAGAGAGAGAGAGAGAGAGAGAGAGAGCACAAAAAATTGCAAATCAAATGCATAAGACTTTGAAGGTTTGCCAACGAGTTTAACATTCTTTAAGGGCAGAAGGAAATCATCATCAGTAGAGTGAGAGTCAGAAAGTGAGTCCTTATTATAAATTCCCAGCACTACTCGAATACTCGAACCCAAAAATGTTGGTTAGAAAACAAATTTAGAAAATTTTTCTCAAAAAAGTAAAAATATGGCACAAAAATACCAACACTTATAATAGCTTTAATAGACATGAGTTTTTGGTTAAATTAGAAATTGTTTTCATGTTTTGGCGTAAATTTTGTATCGAAATATACAAATATTCTAAAAATGCTCATTAAATCTGATAAAAGACAATATTTCTCTACAATATATTCATTGAATTTTTCATTAGAAATTTTCAGATCCATTAAAACGATCAATAAATAAAAAGAAGATATTTTCGCAAATTTTAAGTGATATAACGAATTGATTTAAACATTTCATAATCTGATCGATATTTGGCAGCATTTCTGATTCATGATACTAGTATACTATGCTATACTTCTCATGCTCTCCAAATGTGAATATTATAAACCTGGAATCATTATACAATACTAATTATATTACTTAATATACCGGTCAGTAAGCAATTACATAATAGTATTGACGGTTTTAGTATAAACGGATAGTACGTGAAAACAAGTTATTTATTGCACTTTTGTGACCATTTCTAGGTTTATATGATTTTTTCCATTCAGTTAATAAGAGTGAAGGAAATATACTTAATTTTTGCTTATTTCGAGAAAACTTTCACAAAAAGTTGTCTGATACGATCTGTTTCATTGATTACTGGATAAGAAAATAATATTATATTTGCAACAAAAATTGTAGGGAACTTCTGGAGAAAACTTTTATAACACAAACAAAAGTTAATATAACATAATATACTGTAAGAAACATTAGATAGTGTTATCAGATCTGTAATCGTCAGTGAAGTATATGGAGGGGTATTGAGAGTATTGGAGTAGTGGTGCATTGGATCTCGTTATGAGGCATTTGGTAAGCATTACAGCGTAAGCATTGGAAGTCATGTGAGCCATCACTGGCATCAGTGACATAACTGTGCCGTCACATCACTGCTCCATCACAGCCATCACAGACTCATCAATGAGTTTCATATACGAGAGAGCAATGAAGAGAGCCATAGAGAGCATCAATTGGGCTCTCAGTGCACACCCGCTAAGAGGCAATAGGAGAGAGAGAGAGAGAGAGAGAGAGCCCTAAGAGCTAATGTTTGAGCTTTTATTTTGAAACGAAACTCGTTATCACATTTTGGACTCAAAACAACACAAATGCCTCACTTTTTAGTCGTTTTGCCAAATCAAAGATAAAGCATCGGAACAAATAAATGGCTGAGTTTAGCAAAAATCGCTATTTGTTCGCAGCGTTAAACTAGTCAACAAAATAACACAACAAACATCTTAGAGTTAGTTAATAAAAATCAAATCTCGTTATCTCTACACGACTTTTACTTTCAATGCAATCGTATTTCAAACTCAACACATAATAGAAAGACAAGAATTTGTGAATAAATTCACTCAAATTTAAGGTGAATTTATGACATACTATATATTATTATGGGATAAGTCATTGCGTTTATTGATTGTCAGCACAGGTAGAGAATGTGATGAATGAATATAATGTGAACACTGTTTATAACTCTATTACAAATATCCTGGTCTTAACGTAATGTAAATAAAACACACATATCTGTCGTTTCGTGAAAGTTATGAATAGAAGTGCATTATCTCTGACTTCACTTAAACCCCTCACTATTTGAGACCTAATATCATATCTTTTTGTGTTTAACAGATCTCTGTTTCGTAAGTGAATTAAAATTATATATTTTCTGTCAAATATACAGACATTTATTTATAGATTCAGAAAAAGTTAATTTTCAACCAAAAGTCACATATATATTGGCAATACAACTAGTGCTGTGTTTTGGGCACAACTATTAGTTGTGATGTTTGAGGCCTCCATCGACTCTACGGGGTGTCGGAGGGAATAGGTTTTCATAGGAACTGGTCTTTTGAGACTCTTTCTCATAGAGCAGAACATCCCGAACAGAATGCAGGCAATCGTATGGGCAGTGGTGGGGGGTTTGGGCTGACAACTGGCTCATACATGCCATACAAGGCATACTGTCTGTGCTCTGTCCTCACTATATGAATGTACGGCCGAAATGCCAGAGGAATGACAAAAAAGAGAAAATGTTTCGCATTTTGTGTTTGGTTTCCACCCCTCAGTAGTCCTCAAAAATTGGGAGAAAAGAATTCACTCCTCAATAGAGAGCAGAAAATGTTGAATACTTTTGTACTAAATATACAAAAAGGTTTGTGTTGTTGTTGTATATAATATATTCCTATATATTCCTCTCAGGTCTCTCTCCCAGTGCCATATATAACACATTTACTGGTGTGACTGAAAAGTAAAGACTAATATCTAATCTAAATCTTAATAAATTGTGAGCGCGTATTACGCTTTAATAAGACAGACACTCATAAACCGGTACAATATATAGTGATATACGAGTATATCGTAAATAATATCGAAAAGAAATGTTTGTTCAGTTCTTAAACACTTATTTTATTTCTCTGTGAACTATTCTGATAAGACATTCTCGCCAATCATTATTATTATTCAAGTGTTTCTAAACAGAAATACAGGTAAAGCAACAAACACTTGAATTAACACAAACAGCGCCTAAACCATACACTACTCTACTGTTTAACTGAGTTGTGAACACATTATGAGAATATTCTACTGAATCCACTGTAAACACCACTAAAACTCTCTATTCATAAACACAAATACATATCTATTTTCGACACAAATATATAATTTTACTCAACAATCAATCCATACATACAAACGAATGGAAACAATTCAAGTGTTTGTCGACTGAAATGCAAACACAAAAACGAGTTGTGAATATGGGATCGAAATATGAAAAAAATTATTATAAAATATGATCATTTTAATGGCAATTGCATTTCGTCCACAACTCCAACAACTGTCATAATAAATAAGATTTCACTGTATATTACTGTTGAGCACAATTTATCACTTTTCCAAAAATACAGGTGCTTTACATTGCATCACATCTGAAGTACTAATATTTGCTTTTTAAAACTATTTTCTATAATTTTAATAACCATTATTTTTAATTACACCTCGAATAGAGTTTTAGAATTTTAATTATAATTATTAGTATTTTATTTTATACATGTTATAAATAAGTTATTTTAAACATAACATTAAAATAAATGAAAAATATATGTCTTAATGACTCACCTGATGGTCAGGAGTGGACGCACTGTCCGAATGGTGGCCGGGGTCTGCACTGCCTCCGCGGCCACCATTGCTGGCGCCTCCCATTCCTTGTCCGGGACCTCCGCTTCCATTACTGGAACTGTTATTATTATCTCCCAGATCTCCCGGCTTAGTATCCCTTTCATCGATGACCAAATCAATGGGCATTTTTCCCTTCAGACAACTTATGTAACGCTGACAGAAATTGTCGCACAACTCATGGACCTAATTCATAGACACACCGGTGTTAGTGATAAAAAGCAAATCATAATAATAATTAATTTCATGTGCATTAAAATAAATGGTCAATATATCGCTCAATGAATACCTGCAGAATATATACACACAGAATAATGTCATAATATAATGTATTGTAGGCTATAATTAAAATATACAAAAAATATGAATCTAATGTATATAATGTATATCTAATGTATATGCGCTCAAAAGTGCGATATTAATATTGTTATTACTGTTAATACTGTTATTAATATTTAGTGCGATTCCAGGCTTTAATTAAGAGTAGATTTGAGGGCTTAACTCGTCTGTCATTTAATAATTATTTGGAAGATTTGTTTTGGGCCTTAAAATGAACAACACTTGAGAGCTGTGAACACAGAGCCTATTGAGTGGCTCTAAACACACGTATCATTCAATTGCTCTATCAATTGAAGAGCACATATAAGTGCCCTACAGTTTGGGCATTATATCAAAAGCTTTTATAAAACTGACTGGAATTGAATGTAAGTATGACTTAAATGTATAGACTGTGTAGAGGGTGGAGGATATGTCAAATGCAACCCCTAGTATTTGGACCTCTCATTCTCCCTTTGCTCTCTCTCTCTCTCTCTCTCTCTCTCTCTCTCTCGCTCCTCACTCACTCACTCAATACAATGACTGGCTTTTGACTGACAAGAAAATGTTGATAATTAGTCCTACTTTGAAGAGAGGGATCTTTAAATACCAGTTGAAGCTTAACTTCAACTTATATTTATTATTATTATATATACGCTTATATATTGGAGACTCAAATCTGTGCACAACTTATATAATAATAACAATAATATCAATAATATTACGTTATGTTATGATAAAAAGAGGAGAAATTTTACTTTTTTGTGTCTGGACTTCAAAATACTATACGAGCTCTACTTTTTCGCAGACGAATAGAGAGATGAAAAAAACTTTTTCTGTAGACTAAAGATATGATATTTTTTGGACAACAAAAAAGTAGGAAAAATATATATTGCAGTGTTTGGATTACTGGCGATAAATAGGGAAAACACATAACTAGGTCTCGATTGAAAGACCAAAAAAAGTATTTCAATTCTTATTCTGTATAATACTGTCTGCAGTACAATATAGTGGATGCGAAGCCTCTGTTTAAAGGGGTGTTACTGGAGGCTAAGGCCAATCATTTGGAAACTGTTGTTATAACCAGTATTTCTATTTTTCTCGTTTGGAAAAAGTTTAATAACATATTATGTGATAGTGAGAGAAGACACACACAAACGCATGGCTTCCTATGCCTTTGCAAATACAATACATGTCTTATAATATTCTTATATAAATATATTTTCGCGTAAAACTAACTCATATTAATAGTAAGTGTGTATTTCATTGTATGCATGTACAGTACAGTATACGTATGAATATTCTGTATGTTATCAGCACTACATCACATTAATAACAATATCCTTCATCCTATCGCATATCGAAGGACATGACAGGCATATATACAAACATCACTCATATATGTATACACATATCAATTGAGAGACATTTAAATTCAATCAATCATTTGATAAATTATTATTTTTCTTGAATTTTTATCACATAATAAGTGAAAGGAAAAGCCATTTATTTTAATGCAAATGCAAATGAGAAGTGCAACTGAAATGCATTCATACATACCTTTTCTAACTCTAATAAGTGAAACCTCAACACTTGAATTGCTTGAACCATCTAATCGTCACATGAGGGTAGGACAGGCCAACCAGACGTTTAAATAAAATATAAGACAAGAGTATTAGTTTTAAGACAATGATTATTATATGAAGAGTTATTGGTGTCAATAACATTGATTTTGTTTGTAATGAAATGCAATACAACGTTATACTTATCGTTATTATGATCATTAAATAATAACAGATATTCGTATAACGAAATAAAAACTTCTTTTTATTTAAATTTATGTAAAATTTATTTTAAATATAAAGAAAAGTTAGTCTAAAAACACAACACTAAACAATAATAGAAGTGTCACTTACAAGACTATCTAATTCAGGGTTTGGTACATAATATGGCTTTTCTTGTCTAATCTGAAAGTAAAATGAATACAAAATTAGTTTTCCATTCAAAAAAATAAATTTAAATAATTTTTTCTTTATTTAAATAAACCGGAGAACGGAGTCACGGAAAGCCACACCAAATCTTTGGTTGAGTTTATACTCATATTTTTAGTAGGCTTTACACATTTAAAAATTATATTTTAAAAAATGGTTGATCTCTCGTCTCTAATCATCGGATGATTGTGCGAATGGTATGAGTGAATGGTTACCTGTTTAGCAAAGACGGCGATGTCTTCATTGAAGGACTCGGAGGAACAGACGTCTCCGCCGGCGATCCCGGGCTCTCTGGGCGTACAGGTGGCCAACTCACACTTCTCGAAGATCAGTGCCAACAGTGGGAACAGTGGATGACTTGGACACAACACATTCATCGTTAGTAATCAGTTATCATTTGTATATAAGAAAATAAAAAACCACTTTTCAATCATAAAAGAAATCTAATTATAAGTATTATTATTATTATAGAGAAAACAACGATTGTTATTATGATTGCGTTTTAAAACTTTTCTCGCCATTCAATTTTAAGAGCGAAATAAAATTTAGTTTTAATTATTTTCTTAAAGAGGAGAAAAACATAAAATTGTTGATAAAAATCAAGTCTCTCTGCCTTAAGTGTATTCACTATTTATCGCATTAAAACTTTTTTATTTTAAGTCCTTTCGCCCACTCATTAAGAATTTAAATTTAGACACAAAGAGAGTGAATGAGTGGATGTATTGAGAAAATTATATAAATATAAACAAAAAATTGCTTTAAAAAATAACTTCTCGTAAAAATCTCTAATTTATTCATAAATACTTAAAAATGCACTAAAAATTAATTTAATAACGAGAATAAAGTTGTAGATTATTGTCCATAAAATTCTTACCCATAAATAGCGTCTTTGTCGCGTTTGTGGACGTCTGGGACGGATCCCATGACATGATTGGACATGACATGATTGGTGTGGTACGGGTGCATGGATTGACCATGGTTCATGTGCGACCCGTGCGTTAGGGTTTGCATTTGTCTCTGGAGTTGGTCTCCGTATGGGCTCTCCATTGAGCCGTAATCGTACTAAACCATTGGTACAATTCATTAATTATTTTATAATACTTATATTCACTAACAATCTCTCTCTCTCTCTCTTTCTCTCTCGCTCTCTCTCTCTCTCTCTCAGCCGAAAGGCCATCAAAATGTAAACTTTTAATTATCGCCAGAAAAGCGACTAAAGATGGGCCGAAAGGCCGAAAAGGGTTCACAATTAATATCCGCCTCAAACCACACACACAAATCTCACCGGGATTTCAATAATACAATTCAAATAAATCCATGTGAAGAAGCGTTTCAACAATTTCGCCTTTCAGTCGATCTTAAGATTATGTGAACACAAAATAGCAATCCCTTACCCTTTGCTCCATTTGGGACTTATATTCCGTGCGATTCACTACTATATTATTAACACTTCACTTAAACGGTCGGCAAATATGGTCATCAAATCCGAAACAATTCACTTAAAACCCCGAATCACTTGAATCGTTAAAAATAATAATATATTGGTGAGTTTTTAATCACTTTTAGATGTAATATAATTATTATTCCGGTGCCCGAGAGTGTACACAACAGCGATTGTTGGCCTTTAATAACTAAATAACTTACAGATGAAGCACTTTATGCAAAATAACTCAATTCTGATGACTGCACTCACAAAACACTTGCAATCCTTCAGAAATAAAAAGTTTGTACGAATTGATTGAAGATTGAAATCCCGGTGAGATTTGTGTGTGTGGTTTGAGGCGGATATTAATTGTGAACCCTTTTCGGCCTTTCGGCCCATCTTTAGTCGCTTTTCTGGCGATAATTAAAAGTTTACATTTTGATGGCCTTTAATAACTAAATAACTTACAGATGAAGCACTTTATGCAAAATAACTCAATTCTGATGACTGCACTCACAAAACACTTGCAATCCTTCAGAAATAAAAAGTTTGTACGAATTGATTGAAGAGTGAGTTGAGCACCAAATATGATATTCCAGTTGCAGTTCACTCCATACACTGCTCAACACTAATAGCACTGATAGGGAGAGTGTGTGTCGACTATTGAATAGGAGAAGCGCTCACAAGAGTTGGTCCTATAGAAGAGCACAAACACTCTTACAATGTATTGAGAATTGAATGCATGTATGAGTGGAGCGGACATGCGATTCACAGCAGCGGCACTAGAAGTTTGCGTCGAGGCTGGCCTTAGCGCTGCCACTCCGCCTCACCACCACTCGGATCTTCCCATCAATACCAACACTACGGCATTCACGACGTGTTTCACTCTTTTCAATACACGATATATACACAGAATGAGAGAGAATAGCATATTCTGTGACTAATATAACAATAGATTTTGTGATCTATGCATAGCTATGAACACATGAACACTGGGCCCTATGTGTGCACCGAATGGTATGACATTTAGGTATTATCCCTCACATATTCACTCAGATGGACATCAATTGATCTGATCTTTTCGTGTTCTGCTAACGATAGTGGAAACGATATCCAAACTAAGTCTCTCTCTCTCTCTCTCTCTCGCTCTCTCTCTCTCTCTCTCTCGCTCTCTCTCTCATTGTCGTGAATAAGATATGCACTGGACTTATAGCCACTGGCATTATGTTTGGTGCTATTCTAACCATACAATAACCGGTATTTAGAACTACAATAAAATAATAATATGAATACAATGAGAGAGAATTACAAATAAATTTGATTAGGAATTAAACAACAGTTTCCGCAATAAAATAGACTCAAAAAGGCTATCCATATATTTGTCTATTATTTTATTCTCGTTTTTAATAAATTAAATAAAAAATATTTTTTAACAACTATTTGCAAATCGACAGCTGTACAGACACATAAAATTTAATGTATAAAAGCTATGTTTTCTTCCCAGCCTCTCTCTCTCTCTCTCTCTCTCTCTCTCTCTTCTCTCCCTCCCTCCCTGGACCTGACTTTTGGGATCAGTTATGTAAAGCATATTTACAATACAAGAGAGTGCGAGCATTGCTTCCAAAACAACAGTTAAGGCATAGAAAAGCCATACAATTTTTGGTGTATGACTTGCACTGGTATGGTATGTGCGTTGAAAGTATGTAGTTTTCACTCTCACTCCAGAAACTCTGGGAGAAACCACTTATCCCTTCTTCAAGGGAACAATTTTACTAAAAGTATAAATTTAGTCTTTCCTCTGCGATCTACCAGTGCTCTGGCACTCACACCGCATACACCACCAGAAGTTCTCTAACGAGAGATTGAGTGAAGAGTATATAATATAAATAATATCATAACATTTTAGGCAGAAAATACTTTTTCGAGGAATAAGTTTGTGATGAATATAATAATTCGTGATTTCTGTCAGAGATAACGAACACAAACTTATTGTGTCTTTCGTTTCACTTTATTTTTCTGCTTAAACCCAGAGATGGCTATCATATAAACGTTTACTCTTCTCTTATCTCACTCCACATCCACTCTCCCATCAACTCTCCCGTTCTCTCTCTCTCTTTCTCTCTCTCTCTCTCTCTGGACCTGACTTTTGGGATCAGTTATGTAAAGCATATTTACAATACAAGAGAGTGCGAGCATTGCTTCCAAAACAACAGTTAAGGCATAGAAAAGCCATACAATTTTTGGTGTTCCATACCAGTGCAAGTCATACACCAAAAATTGTATGGCTTTTCTATGCCTTAACTGTTGTTTTGGAAGCAATGCTCGCACTCTCTCTCTCTCTCTCTCTCTCTCTCGTGTTCACTCAAAACCATTTCATTCTCAAAACTCACTGTCAGTCTTGTTATCACAAACTTCTATCCAAATCATCCTCTTTTGTGTTTACATTCCTCTTGTTTTCCACCAATATTTACATTATATTAGAGAAAACGCTATTTTTTCTTGTTTTTCAAAAATTCTTTAATTTTGAATTTTTCATATTTTATACTTTGTTTGTATTTTATCTAATTTTCTGTTGAAAACAAACAAATTTTGACCCAATTTTCATCCCAAATCAATGGATCGCAATTCAAACGTGACGTAACTTTTATTAACAAATTAATTCATGAATTTGTATACAAAAATATATTTTACTAATAAAAACAGCGGAAAACATAACAAAAGCCGCAAAAGTAATGGAAAAAATTTGTTTTCAGTTTTATTTCTAATATTGAATTTCATATATAAATAGAGAGATTATATTATACAAGAGTCAACCATATATTTTGTTTGTAAAACTACTAATACGTTTATTAGCAAAAAGCGGTCTAAAAGTCATAAAAAGCTAAACCACTAGAAAATAATGATAAACTTTTTCTCGCACTTAAAAAATATCTCTCGCTCTTAAAAACAGTGAACACAATACGGTGTTTGTAATACAGTATCACATTATATGTACTTTTATTACCCGAACAAAAAAAAATATATTCTTCAAATACTATTGCCATCACACAAACGGTTTGTTCATTCAGTCAAGCATTTCATTGAAATAATGATTTTATTTTCGAGACATAAATATCTTTATCGCGTTTTAATAATTTTTTCGACTATTTTAGACATTTTTCTCAACAATTTCTCCCACTGTTTAATACTTTTATCCATACGAATACATATTGCGGTGAATGTTCACCGGAATGTGTTTATGCCAATGTATTCACGGTATATACTGTATGTGTGGAACTGGTGGTGGCGGTGATGGGCGTCGGGATGTGATGTAACTCCTCTTATGCAACCGCCCATACAATTGGCGGCGCATAAGCGTTGGGTGTAAACCAGCTTTTGTCCAATTATTTGTCGCTTTTCATACATCTATCGCTTATAAAACTCAATTCAAACACTAATATAAAACCTCACTTTTTATAATACCGTATTTAAAACTTAATATTTTTAGTTTTTCATATATTTGTTATGAAATTTTATTGTTATCAATGTTGTAATTGTTTTTAATTTTTTAGTTTTTGTTTTGTTTGCTAAACTTTTTATTTCTAAATCTCATATATGGCAGATTTTTATTACGCCAAAAAAGTAGTTATTATATTAATATTTAAAATTTATTTAATTGTTTAGAATAACAGTTAAACTCTAAGTTCAAGGAAAATAAATTGAAAATCTCGTAAACTTTTATTATAATTGTATTGATAACTAGTTTTCGTTGCCTTTGCTATTATTTCTTTCTCCAGACATCTATCCATAAGCCATAAACACAAACTTAAGCTTGACTTCAGATTAAGTCATAATTCTGCGAATAGACTATAAAAATAAATTATCTCTTATTTAAAGACATACTTTGAAAGTGATATTCAAGTTTTTAAATACAGTACAGTATAAGGAAAATATTGTTTTTATTCAATAAATAAATTTCGAGTAAATCATTAAAAAAAAAGTCAATTCACAGCAATCGAGTCCACATAACCAGTGGTGACACCTCTTAGTTCACTCCAGAGGAATACAAGAGTCTTGACACATTGGCACCGAAATACACAATCATTTATCACTCAATTAAGTCTCTGCTTCTTCTCGGGCGGTCCGGCGCCGGGTGTGTCAGCCATTCGTCGGGCATTAGGTGCCGGTGCGGTCTGGGATGGGGCGGCAGTGGACTCAGCCTTTTCCACTTTGACCTCCACTTTGGTCTCGGCTTCAGTCGAGTTTTGGGAGGAGTTAGCGCTCGCCTTATCGCCAGTCGGCGGCTGTTGTGGTGTCTGTTGAATGAGTTTCGGCGGAAACTTTTTGGTCAATTCAGACAACAAGATGTCGACTCTCTTGCGCTGGAATTTAGTGCTGCTATTCATCTCCTCTTTGTTCTTCTCCTTCGATGTCTTATCGCTCTTCTCTTTGTTGCCGTCTTTGTCGCCATCTTTGCTGAACTCAAACCAATAGCCTTTCGACGGATGATATCTGGAGTAGGAATAGGACTCATCGAAAGCGGAGGACAAGTGGTGGACAGTGGACAGGATCCGCGAGTTTATGAGTGAATGCAAGTCCGGCGCCTGATATACGACACCAGCGATGATGTAGTAGTCGGCGATAGGGGTGGCCTGAGCGGGGGTCAGGCGTTCCTGCTTTCGGATCACATACAGGATGGGCTCCTGACAGTGGAGGAGGATATACTCAATGCCCTGGAATTTGCTACCCGTCCGCACAATCACACAATTAGTCACTGTATCAGTGGTGGTGGCAAGGGTGGTGTGGATGGCATACCTGAGCTGTTCAATGGGCAGTCTCTGCATCTTCAGGATCTCGTTATTACAGGTCCTGTCGTAGAAGGGATTGGATCTCTCACTGAAGTACTCCAAGACATTGTGTTGGTTGAGCACTGGTAGCCATTGGCTGTCACACCAACTCAGATGCAGTGAATTCTGGTCTGAATAGACATTCAATGAGATTCAGAGATACCGATGATATCTACAAACCTTTCAAGTCATTCATCATAACAGGTGTCCACTAATTGTTGTCACAAACTGTCACTAATTGTCATAAAAGTGAACACATTTTCACTCATCAGTTGAGTTCAATGCAAACACAGAGACAGTAATAATAGCGCTCTCTATCGACAAATACAGGCAATGCTTTGCATAGCTTTCACTGAACTCTTCTCAACGAACTGAAAGTGCTGTCATTTCCCGCATTTCACACAAAACTTTTGCTTTCATTTGTCGCAATCATTCATTGCATTGTTTTCATCATTCAAACTATTCAAGCTTCAAGTTGGTCACAGTCATCGCCACAAAGGGATTCAACAAACCCATCACTCAAAGACAGACAATTGAGACACAAGTCTATAGCAAAGACTCTTTCGATCGCTTTGGCGATGATTTGTGTCAACTCTTGTTGTCTTATCTCCCAGTTGATGATCGCTTCCGATTTGAATGCATTTCCAGACAATGGCAGCGATCGGTGTTTGTGACACAGAAAGAGCTCATTATCGGTGAAAAGTTATATAAAGCGCTAAAGTCTTCCACTAAAAGACCAATTGATATGAAAGCCTTCGAGACAACGGTTAAGAAGTGCTCAGAAGTGACTGCCATTTGGTGTTGGGAACAACCGATGACTACTCCTATGATTAATGCAATTATGAAATATTGCCATAAATTGAACAGAATTTGTATTAAATTTCATATAAGGGTTGGCCATAAAACTATGGATGAGTTCTTGGCGAAGTTTGGCCACCAATTGAAATCATATGAATTGATTCCTCGACGCGGAAAACGAGCAAATGGTGTAATGATGTGGGGATTGAATCGGTTGATGACACATATCTGAAGTACATTAAGACGTGTCATAACATCACCGAAATGGGTGTGAAGCCGATGGATGGTATGGACAGTCGTATTAAATTCGAAAAACTCTTTGACCCCAAACCACATATCGCTTTCCCGAGACTACAGAAGATATCTTTTGTTGGTTTCGATGAGATCTGGTATTACGATAAACCCGATGACAATAACAATGCATTGAAAGTATTCATCGATAACCATAAGAAGACATTGAAGTGCATTGAAATGCAAAGTTATTACGAAATCCACACTTTGAATACATTTATCATTGGTTTATCACAAATGAAGGCATTGATTGAATTGAAGATATCTTTGAATATAACGACACATTTGCCAAACAATTGGCACAAATATCCGCTAAATGTGTCCATTTGAAGAGTCTTAAGCTGAACTCTGTTGAAAACATACGGGACATAGTATTGGCCACAATTAACGATTGCTTCAAACATTTGAAACGTTTGCAAATCAATGGAAACATTACGAGTGACTCTTTGGTTGGATTCAATCGCTTAACTCATTTGACTCTAACCACAGACAAGACCATCGATGCCAAAGATTTTGCTAATTTGTCTCAAAATATGCCTAAACTTTCTTACATTAAACTTAACTTTTCATCGAAAGGAGAATTGTATGAAAAGTATTTGCAATTATTGTCTAATTTCCACAAATTAGAGACAATTGTATTGATCAACAGATCGTATGAAAGAAATAAGAAAAACGAAAGAATAAAATGTAAGAAATTTGTGGCCAAAGAAAATATGATTAAAAATGGGCCTAAAATTAGATACATTGTCATTAAGGGCAAGAATATTCTCTAGAAATATTGCCCACAAAATAATTTAGTATTTCCATAAATTCCCAAATATATTATCAAACGTTATCTACTTTTAAATTCAATTAAATTTAATCTTATATTTGTTCAAAATGTAAAACCTATTTAATTTTTTTCAATTGTATAAAATTCAATTAAATCATTTAAAATGTTGTCATTTAATATTTAAATTGTATTAATAAAATGAAAATTAACTAAATTATTGCTATAAGACACAAATTGTAAGATTAAAAATACGAGACAAATGATAGCAAACCCGCACTCTATCCACACATTCAGTGAACGCTTGCATTGATTTCCTCAAAAGTGCAGTCATTTCCTCTTTAACCGCATTTCACACAAAGATTTTGCGTTTCATTTGACTTATCATTGGTTGCATTGACACTGAATTGACGGCTAAATCAAGAAGTAATCACTTGTTGGTCACAATTATGGCCACAAAGGGACACAAGAAGGCGATGACTGAAAAACAGATAATTGGGACACAAGTCTATAGCAAAGACTCTTTCGATCGCTTTGGCGATGATTTGTGTCAACTCTTGTTGTCTTATCTCCCATTTGATGATCGCTTCCGATTTGAATGCATTTCCAGACAATGGCAGCGATCG